TCCTCCACAACTAGACTGAAGAACAAAAGGACAGCAACTTGTTTGTTCCTCTTCCTCCAAATCCCCAGTGCTGTTCCCATCTCCCAATTCCCCAGTTAAAAAAAAAAAAAAACCAAGAGGAGTAAGATTTAGGAGACCGAAATTATAAGACTCATGATTAATTTTATGTAAAGGGGTAAGAGTGACAATCCAAGTTTCTGACTTGGACCAAGAGATAGAAACAAAGAACAATAAGGAAGTTATGAGAGGGAGGTGAGTCCAATTTGGGCATCTTGAGTATTGGACATCTGTGGAACATCCAGAGAGAGATGTCATTTGCAAAAATAAGAGAGAGAGCTGATCTGAGCGTTCAGACTTGAGAATAATCACCATATGGGTAACAATTGAAACCATGATAGTGGATGAGATCTACGAAGATTATGTAGAAACAGAAAAAATACAAGCCCAGGACAGGAAACATTAACAAATAATACTCTTTTGCCTTTCACATCAGGAGCCAGAGTACAAACACTGTTATATACAACTGCTTAGGTCAAGGCTTGAAATTTTGCTTGAAATTTTGACTTGAGTTAATCTTGGGAAGAAAGTCCAAACAAGCCACATAATTCAGTCATCCAAACTATATTCATTGAATGTAAATTTGTTCAGCATTTTTCCATGTTCTAGATACATAGATATGCATCACTTTGCATTTTTCTTAGTGTTACTTTCACTAATTTTTCTACTTGTTTGATTTCAAGATCCTGCCTAAAATCAGAAAAATAAAAAAATTTTTAAAAAAGGAGAATCAAAGCAGTTACACTGATAATTCAGGCCAAGAAACATTTTCTCCTAAGGGCACACAGAAAGTGTCAATGCAATAACAAGGCCTCATCTTCTCTCTGCAGTTGATTTAGGAGAGTTTTTCTCAATTGGTTACTTTACCCTAAGTGATGGAACTTGCTTCTCTTCTTCCTTTGCAGTCCCAGCGTCTGTCCAAGGTATAATGGCAGACAATGTATACAGCAGTCATTCCTTAATAGTAAGCTGGCAAAAAGCCATTGGCGTAGCAGAAAGATATGACATCCTGCTTCTCAATGAAAATGGGATCCTTCTGAGTAACACATCAGAGCCAGCCACCACTAAGCAGCACAAATTTGAAGACCTAACACCAGGAAAGAAATACAAGATACAGATCCTAACTGTCAGTGGAGGCCTCTTTAGCAAGGAAGCCCAAACCGAAGGCCGAACAGGTAATTCACACAGCTTATTGTTTTGTAGGAGATATCTCCTTGTCTGCTATTTCTTAAGAACAGAAGCCTCAGAGGGACAACGCAAAATTGGGAGATGATACATTATTTCTTGATACAGTAGGAACATTCTCTATAATTTACCACTTCCTTGTCAGTCGGCCTATTCACACAGCCTTCAGCCTGCCACATTCCATTTGAGATTATTCATCAAAACTGGCTCTTTTAGTTCCTTATGAATGCTGTAATAAATTACCACAAATATAGCAGCTTAAAACAACACAAATTTATTATCTCATAATGTTAGAGGTCAGAATCTGAAGATAGGTCTTATGGGGCTAAAATGAAGGTGCTACATATCAGCAGGGCTGTGTTTCTTGTAGAGACTTTAGTGGGAGAAGCCATTCCTTGCCCTTATCAGCTTCTAAGGGCCGCTCACATTCCTTGGTTCATGGCTCCTTTCCAGCATTGGCATCACTCCAACCTCTGTGTCTGTCACCATATCTCCTTTTCTCTTTTGCCGCCCTCTTCCGTCTTTTGACCTTTGTGATTACATTGGTTGCCACCGGAACAAGCCAGGATAAGCTCCCCATCTGAAGATCCTTAACTTAGTCATATCTACAAAGTCCTTTTTGCCACATAAAGTAATAAATTCATAGGTTCTGAGGATTACAACAGGAACATCTTTGGGGGTCGTTATTCAGACAATATCACTGGTCTAATGGATTACTTATTTATTAAGTACCTAGCAAGGGGGTATGGTGGTGACAGGGACATGAAGATGAATTAGGCATGCTTCTTATCCTGGAAGAGCTGACTGACTAGTGAGGGAGAAAGTCACATGAACAAATAATGACAATGCATTGTGATAAGGGTTTTATATAAGAGGAATGTCCAGTATTAAGGGGAACATGGGTTGGGTAAAATTGGAAAGTCTTCATAAAAGTGACATTTCAGTACTATCATGAAGGGTGAAACAATTCTCCACATGGAGAGAAGATAGACAGACACCCCATGCCAAGCGGAAAGGTGTGAGAAGGAACAGTGAGATTTTGTGGGTGGCTAAAGTGTGTGTTGCGTGATGGAGAGTGAGGCTGGAAAGGCAGGTTGAGGCCAGATTAGAGAGTGCCTGGTGAGCCTTTCCTGGAATTTTATTTTTCATCTTGTAAGCAGTGAGGAGGAATAAAAGTGTTTCAGCTAGAGAGTGAAGGTTTTGTATAAAAATGCATAAAAAAGATAAATCAGATGGCAATGGGGGATGTATTGAATGGAGACGAGACCAGAGGCCGGAAGACCTGTTCATTAATTCATTTGTTATTGAGCACCTAGTATGTGCAAGGAACTGTTCTAAAAGCTGGATACACAGAAGTGAATAAAACAAATCCTCATGGTCATGAAGTATGTATTCTAGTGGGGAGAAAGGCAATACACAAAATAAGTTAAGTAAAAAATATTGTAGGTTAGACGGTAATAAATACCAAAGAGAAAATTAAAGCAGGAAAGGGAGATAGCAAGTGTTGGACCAGGCTTGCAGTTTTAGATAGTACAGTCCTCAAAAGTTTTGTTGAGAAGGTGACATTTCAACAAAAATCTGAAAGAAGTGAGAAAGAGGATCGGGCCGATATTTGAGGAAGAGTATCCCCAACCAGAGCGAACAGCAAGGCAAAGATCCTGCGATGGGAATGTGACAGCCTGTTGGCGGAGAAGAGGTCAGTACAGCTGGAGCAGAGTGAGTAGGAACGCAGTGGGGAATGTGGTCAGAAAGGTAACTGGGGTATGAACCAGCTGCAGTTGTAGAAATGATAAGGGTCAAAAGCTAAACTCCCGCAGGAGCCCTGATGAAGTGCAGTAGATACAGTCCAATATTTCTCCATTAGATAAGATGACACTCGGTGGCTGAGTAGAGTAGAGAAGGAGAAACAGAAAATGCCAGAGTTTCTACCTGGGGTGTGTGGTCCAAGAAATGCCATTAATTGAGATAATAGAAACAGGAGGAGGGAGTTTCAAGGAGAAATTATGTATCGAGTTCAGTTCTGGACTGAGTTTGAGAGGTCTGATTGATTGCTGAGAGAGGTGATCATAGGTAATTGAAAATATAGGCCCAAGATCAGAAAAATGAGCTAGAGACAAAGATTTGGACAAAAATTCTCGTTACATCCATACCTTAGTCTGTTCAGGGCGCTATAACAAAAATACCATAATTTGGGTGGCTTAAACAACAAACATTTATTTCTCACATTTCTGAGGCTGAAAGTCTGAGATCAAGGCACCAGTAGGTTTGACTTGGTGTCTGGTGAGAACCCGCTTTCTAGTTCATAGATGGTACCTTCTCTCTGTGTCTTCACATGGTGGGAGGGGGAAAGGGCTCTCTGGGGCCTCTTCTTAGGGCACTAATCCTGCTCATGAGGGCTCCACCCTCATGACCTAATCACCCCCCAATGGCTGTACCTTCTAATACCATCACCTTGGGGGTTAGGTGTCAACATACGAGTTTGGGGGAGGGAAATTCAGACCATAGTAATTCATAAAGTGAGTGAGATGGATTGCTTACCTAGTATTATAGGATATGAAGGGGACAAAGGATAGAACCATGGAAAATACCAACTTTTAAGGGCCTGGCATAAGGAGAGAAAGAAAGCAAAAGAGCCTAAGAAAGTGTTTGGAAGAAAGTGAGGGAAGAAAACCCAGGAGAGATGGAGACAGATGTCCTGCTCTGTTTTCACCGGCATCTTAAGACTTCTGTGGAGTCAGGCAGCATCTGTGCCAACAGTTGCAAAGCAGGTCATTTCTGTTGGCAGTTGGTCATCCTGCCAACAGGGTGCACTAAAGGTCAAAGCAATTACAAAACCCTAATGTAAACTTTTTTCAAATAATGGTTTTGGCTTTTCCTCTTGCTTCTCTCTCCCATCCCTGAATCTAATCCCCTTTCTGTCTGCCTTTCCTTTTCTTTCCCACCCACTTTCTCCTCCCCACTGTCCTTCCCTCCAATGGCCATTTCTTAGCTCTCAGATGGCATTCAGAGATAATTTTTTGATCTCTGATCTCTGATAGCTCTTAGAATTAGAAAAGCATTTAGTCACACATGTCAGATAAACATTTATTCTATACCCAAAAAGGGTCTTTGAAGATACTTTCCCATTACTGGTTTTCTTTGTTCCCTTGTGGTTTTGTTTCAGCATCAATTATTCACAATACTCAGATTTTTTTGCTTTGGGGGGGCCCATGAAGTCAGTATTTTTTAAAGGCAGGCACCATGTGTTTTGAGGTGATGTTTGAGTGAGTCTATGCATGTGTCAGTCCTGGGCTATTTCAGGGACGTGCCAAAATTCAGTCTCACTCTCTTGCTTCTCAACTTTTCCAGTCCCAGCAGCCGTCACCAATCTGAGGATCACAGAAAACTCCACCAGACACCTGGCCTTTAGCTGGACCACCTCGGAGGGAGAGCTCAACTGGTACAACATCTTCCTGTACAACCCAGATCGGACTCTTCAGGAGAGAGCTCAAGTTGACCCACAAGTCCAGAGCTTTTCTTTCCAAAATTTGCTACAAGGTCGAATGTACAAAATGGTGATTGTAACTCACAGTGGGGAGCTGTCTAATGAGTCTTTCATATTTGGTAGAACAGGTAAGATCCAAACCTCAGCAGTAATGAATAGTCGGGAAACTGTCGCAGTAGTCACTGGCTTTTCCTTGATTTGTCCTTAGTTTCCTATTCTATCTAGGTTATAGCTTTATATGAATTTGTGACTTTGAGGCTTTCTGACCCTAACGCAGGCCTTTGATCATATATCAGAATCGTTTTGGTACTGGCTTCTGCACTGCTGCCTTTACTTGTTTATCTCATAGGGTTTGGTGAAAATAAAAAAATGAATCTGGCTCTTCCAGTTGCAAGCAGGTCGTAACCCATCATGGCTGAATTCAAGCTGTGCCCTTCACCTTTCTACGAGAAATAGATGGAGTAGAGAGAGGGCAGGTCTAGAGAAGGACAACTACAAAGGGGACCAACAAGCAAAGACTGCTGTGAATCAAAACCACAGTACTGAAGGGCCGGTCGAGTGGCGCTTTGGTTAACAGTTGGCTTGGGAGCACCAGCTCTGAGCAGCAGGGCCCCAGTTTGGATCCCACATGAGGGCCAGTGATGCTGCACCCTCTACAGCTAAGATGGTGAACAACAGCTTGACCTGGAGCTGGGCTGCCGTGAGTCGCTGGTGACGGCGTAGGCTGCATTGGGGCTGCAGTGGGCTTCCGTAAGCTACCATGAATGGCCGGCAGCTGGTGTGAGCTGCTGTGAGCCACCATCAGCAGCTGTCCAATGGCCAGCAAGCAGCTGCCTCACCCGGGAAGAGCGCAGTGATCACAATACCAACATGAGCCAGTGAAGCGACGTCCTCCACAACTAGACTGAAGAACAAAAGGACAGCAACTTGTCTGTTCCCCTTCCTCGATTCCCCAATGCTGTTCCCCTCCCCCAATTCCCCAATTAAAAAAATCTTCAAAACAAAACAAAACAAAAAAACCCCACAGTACTGGATGAAATAAATACCAAGAGTTCTAGGAAAATGAGAGGAAGAAACACCTCTTTGGGCTGCAAATAAGAAACTGAATCTACTCTTCTTCCAGAATTAGAGTCCATTATCTCATTTTTTCTATTCATTTTTTTTAAATTTCATGGACAATGGTTTTTAAGTGCTCTGGTGTCCCAGGGAACAAGAAAGACTACACCCCTAATCTAGTAGAGCTCTACATTAGTGGAAAGGGGAAGGGGCTAGGATAGCAGATTTTAAAGGGAAGGAGATTATTTCAATTCTATGAAGGAAATAAACAGTATGTTGTGACACAGAGCAACTTGGCAGGACAAGAAACTATGTTAGACAGAGAAGGCATTTCAGCTGAGACCTCAAGGTGAGTGGAGCCATGTGAACATTCTAGGCACCCAACAGAAGTCCTCAGTTTGTCTTTTGAAGGGAATGAAAAAGAGCAGCAGATTAGCCTAAATCATGAATAGACTTGCTTGGGTGTCTATGCAATCTACACTCTGCACATCTTCCCTTATCTGCTCAGTAATATTTAAAGTTCCTCCAATAAGGGACAAGAGTCTTCACTCTCCAAAGAATGATGATGCTTACATACCCATGGGACAGGTGCCAGTGTAACTAATTTATACAATGGTGGAAGTGACTGTTAATAAAGATTTTGGTAGGAAAGAGCATGTGAGAACTGAAAACCTAAAAGTGGGTGGAGAGGAGGTAAAGAGACCCAGAGAGGACTGTTAGGATATGGTGGCCATGAGTGAGATGGGCCTGACTGGAGGGGAACTTTTTATGAATATTTTCAGGGTTTTTATAAGCTAAGGTATAAATTATTTGACCAGTTTTAATTAGTCATTTCTGAAGATTTCATTTCATGCGTTCATCAGAGTACATGTGGCAAACATATAGAAGTCACCACCTTTGTGGGGGGGATTTTTTGGTTATTTTTTTATTTAAAGATTTTATTGGGGAATTGGGGAAGGGGAACAGTGTTGGGGAATTGGGGAAGGGAAACAGCCAAGTAGTTGTCCTTCAATCTTAGTTGTGGAGAACGCAGCTAGCTCAACTCTAAGTCCAGTCACCATCTGGCTGCCTGTTGGCAGCTCACGGCAGCTCAGCTCAAGGTGCCATGTTCAATCTTAGTTGTGGGGGGGCACAGCCCCCCATCCCATGCGGGAGTCAAACTGGCAATTTTGTTGTTAGGAGCACGTGCTCTCACCAGCTGAGTCATTCTGCCACCTGTTGGAAGCTCAGTGACAGCTCAGCTCAGGTGCAGCTCACTGGCCCATGTGGGAATTGAACCAGCGACTCTGTTGCTCAGAATTCGCACTCTTAACCAACTGAGCCACTCGGCCGGCCCCTCTTTGTGTTTTTTTAAATTTTAATTTGTATCACATCTCTCGTCCACATTCCCCTAAATTTAAGTGACCTGAAATATAAGCAAGACCTGACTCTACAATAGGAACTACTCACCCATATAAGCCCAGCATAGCTTATGTTTTCACCTATGGGCCAAAATGCCTTCGTTTCTATTTTGTTTTTAGTAAAGATTTTCCCCTCTGTTTAAGTCCCAGCCTCTGTGAGTAACCTCAAGGGATCCAATCGGAATATGACAGACAGTCTCTGGTTCAGCTGGAGTCCAGCCCCTGGGGACTTCGACTTTTATGAGCTGATTCTCTATAACCCCAATGGCACAGAGAAGGAAAACTGGAAAGACAAAGGCCTGACAGAGTGGCGTTTTCATGGTCTTGTTCCTGGAAGGAAGTACACACTGTGTGTGGTAACTCACAGTGGAGATCTTAGCAACAAAGTCACGGGGGAGAGCAGAACAGGTAAGAGGCCCAGTTGCCAATGGCCAAGTATTGGTGGGAAGTAGCTTCCAAAGACACATTTTTATTATGGTTTTAATAAGAAGGAAATCAATCATGGTGTGCTATGTGCTACCCCATCAACTTGGGAAGGCACTATGGTACAGTGGACAAAGGAAACAGACTTCAGTGAAAAGGATCTACATCCTTAGCTTAGCTCTGCCACTTACTTAAGTGAAGCTGAGCGGGCCCGTGAGCATCTCTAAGGCTCTGTTTTCTTATCTATAAAATGGGGATAATCACATACATCCTCACTGTGTTGCTATGAGCAGTGCTTCCTAAATATTTTTTTTATTTCTTGGGCACACACAGATGATGTTAATATATCTGTGCACCACCCTGGGGTCAGTGAACAAGGCCATGTGCAATTGGACATAGTCTGTGGATCCTAGCCCTCCCATCCCCAAATCTGATGGAATCAATGCCTTTGTGCACATGTAACCCATGCGGGGCACACTCGTGCTCCACATCACCCTGATAAGGAAGCCCTGGTTATGAAAATGAAAGAAAATGTACATAAAACACTTGAGGACAGTGCCTTACACATAGTAACCACTACAAATGGAAACTCCTATTATTATATTATCGTATCATGTCTTCCTACCAAGTACATTAAAAGTATGTCTGATGTTACTCAGCTATCTCATTTGTATATGTCACAGCATGGAAGTGATTACTTGATTTTTTACTTTCTCCTACGTACAGCCCCAAGTCCTCCCAGTCTTATATCATTTGCCGATGTTGCAAACATATCCTTGGCCATCACCTGGAAGGGGCCACCAGACTGGACAGACTATGATGACTTTGAGCTGCAGTGGTTACCCAGAGATGCCATCACGGTCTTCAACCCCTACAGCAACAGAAAGTCAGAAGGGCGCATTGTGTATGGCCTTCGTCCAGGGAGATCCTATCAATTCAGTGTCAAGACTGTCAGTGGTGATTCCTGGAAAACTTACAGCAGACCAATTTCTGGATCCGTGAGGACAAGTATGACGTGTTTTACTACTCTTGGTTTTCAAATGGAGTGAGGGGGAAGTATGTGTTGCAACATCATATTCTGATGGAGCTTGATATACATCCACATTTTTACTTGGGATTGGTTAGATTTGAATTCAGGCAGAAGCCTGGATAGATTTGTTTACTCATTCAGCAGTAACAACAAGGAACAGTAAAGAAATAATCTCTGACTTCATGGAGCTTACAATTGAGTGGGAGGTACTATCATTAAAAACAGTTACATTTTGGGTATGATGAAGGGAGTATTTGGCACGATAGAAACCCATGATCGGGGCATCTGACCCAATGCAAGGCAGCTTCCTAGGAGAAGAAACATCCAAAGCAAAACCCAAGGAAAGAATAAGATTCTCCAGATGGAGATGGCGAAGGAAGTCGAGAATATTCCAGATTCAGAGAATAAAATATTCCAAGACCAGGCAGGGGGAAGGAACAGAAAGAAGTTTAGTTGGCTAGAACATAAAAGGTGCAGATTAGAAGAATCAGTTCATAAAATGTCTTGTGAGCGATGGTAACGACTTTGAACTTTATCCTCAATCAATTGGAACCACTGAAGAATTTTTGACCAAGATATAATCAGATTTGCACTTTAGAAAGTCACTCTGGGTACAGTGTAGAGAATATATTGAAAGGGGCAAACTGAAAACAGAGAGATCAGTTATATTGCTGTAAATTCCAAAGATAAAAGTATTTCAACAATGAAATATATATCAGTTTCTTCCCAAGGGCATTTTGGAATCAATGCAACAAACCTCAAAGAAACAAAGGTTCTCAGTATAGGATCCTTGACCCAAATGTTTATTTTTCAATAATACCTAGTAAATGTAGCTTCTAAGACCAGATCAGATAGTTAGTGTTTGCTGATAAAATATGTAGTTGAAAATTAGAAATTTAAGCAAGTAGTTGTTTTGTTTATTCAACAAATACTAATGCTATAACAATTATAACTTGTACTCCATATTGTATCCAAAGAGCAGTTTGGGATCAAATAGTTGGTGTCAAGGGAAATATATAAAAAAGAACTAAGAGTTTTAGTTTATAGCAGCCTAAGGGTGGGTTTTCAGTTTCGTGTAGTGGGCTGTGTAATTGAATCACAGGTGTGCAGTTTAAGAGCTCAGGAGGGGCTGGGCCAGTCAGATCACATCTGAAGTATTGTATTCAGTCCTGGATGCTAGAATTGAAGAGAGGCATTCACCAAATGGTAACACCCAAGAGGAGCGCCACCAGCACACAGGGGGACTTGGTGCTGAACTGTATGAGGGACAGCTGAAGGAGCTTTGAGGGTTGCATTTATTATGGTTGGGTTTGGCTTTGAGTAACACAAAACCCAAAATATGAGGATTAAACAAAATAGAAGTTTATAGTTCTCATGTAAAACCATTTCAGGACCGTTACTCACAAATACACTCCAGCTATGATGACTAATTTGCAGTTCCAGGTCACCCACCTTCCAGCTCCCCCAAGCCCCACCCTGAGTGCTTGAGTTTATGGTTTTCTCTGCCTAAAATGCCCTTCCTCAATATCTTGGCAAGGTATCATCTCTGCCAACGTCTTTGCTAACTCCTGCCCACCACTGACGCCAGCAATGGAAAGTTGTCTGCCCCGCCACACAACATCATTTTCCCCCGTTTCTTCTGGTACCTTTTCCTTTCTACCTTGTATTATGGTTATTTCAGACCCCTCTCCCTTCTTAGAAGTTAGGGCTGATGTTGTATTCACCACTCTACTCTTCGTAGTCCCTAGAAAAGTGCATGTACTCATTTCTTAGTGAATGGGACAGGACCTGAGTCTTGGAAAACAAGTGTGATTTAGAGGTGAAAAGGAGGAGAGAGAAGGAACTGAGAGAGGAGGTTGAAACAAGTTTTCATATCATTCTTTGTGCAAATTATCTGAATTATGGATTAGGCAGGATATTTTAACAGATTTTCTCCAAGGCTGAAAGAGAAGGTGTCTTTGGGTTTTGGCTGTGACTTGGTTTGAATGGAGTTCAAAAGAGTCACAAGCAGTTAATGTATGAAAAGACACAATTATTGCTTGCCTCAAAGGCCAACTCTTCCCCTATCCTGAAAAGCCTTAGGTTTGATTATTTCTCTAAATCATCCTTGTCTAATCTGTTGTGACTTAGCTGACATTTGTAGACCTTGATGTGAAACAGGAATTCATTGAGTGGCACACAGATGCTGAGTGTTTCAAAGTCAAGGTTATTAAGGACAAGGACTCCCATGACAGAGTATGCGTCAGGAAAAGGTAGGTTGTCAGAGCAGCAGGTACTGCTCTGAGAGGGACAGTGCTGTCTCCACATAGTTCCCAGATCACCTATGTAGTGTGTCCTTCATGAGCTCAAAGGATGATCTACACTACAAGCAGGCCTGGTGTCACCAACTGTGCAGACACACAGGGCCCCATGTTTAGAGGGGCTCCACACTTGGTTTAAGTCTCTGCTATCACCATCTTAAAATTCTTAATATTTTGAGCAAGAGGCATCATGTTTCACTTGGCCCTGGGTCCTGAAGATTATGTAGGCAGTCTTATCTACAAGGTTGATGAATGAACCTACAATTCTAATTTAGGGAAGTGGGGGAGGTGGAGAAAAGAGAACAGGATGAAATTTGTAACAGGGACCACGAAAATCCAACAATGAAATGGAATGGGTTTTTTCCTGTTTGGTGTTCTTAAGGTCAAGAATCACTGTCTTTTACCTTATTTTTTTAAATCCCTCTCCATATTATATGGTATTTTTGTGAGCTTTGTGATGGGTTGATATCATTGATTATTGTCATCTGAGAATTGTTACTATATGTTGTGCTATGGTCAACAGAACAATGGGCAGGCTTTTAAAATTTAATATGTATGAAGCCTTTGACTCCTGGTATGAAATTAGGTGGTCTAGACCTAGGTTTTCCAGTTCTATTCCAGAGCCTGAAGGCTCCTTGGAAATCCCTGGGGAAAGGGAACAAGGCAAGGGACGTCTTAGCAAGGTCACTCGGCATAGCACTCCTGACCTAATGCACGCTTAAAGCATATTACCAGGTGCCGGCCAAGTGGCTCAGTTGGTTAAGAGCTTGCTCAAGAGTTTGAGCTCTGAGCAACAGCGGTTCGAGTCCAGCCCGAGCTGAGCAGCTGCTGAGCTGCCAACAGGTGGCAGGATGGCTCAGCTAAAAAAAAAAAAAAAACACACATTACCAGAACCCCTCTGCTTTTCCATATAGGGGAACTCAGAACTTTTCTTTTATAAATGGCTCGGCTGCCAAAATTTTAAATTCAAAAATTACTTCTCTAAGTCATACAATTTAGCTTCATAGATACATACATAATTAGAGATGGTGGGCATGCAGCTGGTTCAGATACTGTCAAGCAGAAGAAACTGAATGACCAAACGCACAGAGGCGTGGAACAGCTTGGTGTACATGGGGAACCACAAGCAGTTCCAGCGCCATGGCCTGTGATCAGGGAAGGGCAGGCAAAAAATGGAAGAGGGGGACAGAAGCCAGAGCCTAGTGGGTAACAAGTCAGCAATTCTATTTCCTATTTTCCTTATTATAAAAGCTAGCATTTATTGAGCAGTTATTATGCATATACTAGCCACAGTTCTGGGTGGCTGTGCATGTTTCAACTCATTGAATCATCACAATGACCATATGATTTTTGGCTATCTTAATTTTCCCACTTTACAGATGGGGCACAGATATGTTAAGTAACTTGTCCAAGAATGCATAGATGGTAAATAGAATTTAAATTCAGGCAGGCCAGGCTGCACTTTTGACCTCTATCTGACCTCTGCCACTCAATTTCAATGCCCACGTGTGCATTTGTGTTTCCAATCATGTTAGCACCTGGTGATTTTTCTGAAGGGACCGCATTTTGACTTCTAATGTTTCTCAAAGTGGGGTCTGGCAGGCAGAAATCCCCTTGGAGAGCTATAATTTTTCTCCTCAGAAAACAATCCAAATAAAGTTTGGGAATTATTTATTTAGATCTCCAAGCTGTTTAGACCCAAAAGAGATAAAAAAATAAAAATTTTAAAAAAAGTCTCACAGACTTGTGAAAAGTGTTCCTTCCTCTCTCTCCGTTAGAGCCAGACAAGATACAAAACCTGCATTGCCGGCCTCAGAACTCCACGGCCATTGCCTGTTCTTGGATCCCTCCTGATTCTGATTTTGATGGGTATAACATCGAATGCCGGAAAATGGACACTCAAGAAGTTGAGTTCTCCAAAAAGCTGGAGAAAGAAAAATCCCTGCTCAATATTATGATGCTAGTGCCCCATAAGAGGTACCTGGTGTCCATCAAGGTGCAGTCAGCTGGCATGACCAGCGAGGTGGTTGAAGACAGCACTATCACAATGATAGACCGTAAGTGGGCACCAGTTACTTACCTTTCTCTACCCTCTTTCTCACTGCTATTCACTGGTATACCGTGCACTTCCACATTGGCATTCATGTCGTCACTACGATGCTCTGGGAGATGGAAACATTTTTCTTTGTAAAGTGTCCTGGCAGCAAACAAGTTAAATGATCTTAAAGTACCTAAACGAGTTATTATTTGAATACATCACTTTGCCTGATATAGTTAGAGCTATAATGGAGCTTTTAAGCAATTTGATGCTACAACTTCAGGAAATCCTGCTGAGGAGCTGCCTCTTTCATTATGTTTAATGTGCCACTGGCAAATCACTTCCTCTGCCTGCTTCCCTTCAGCAGAAGAGGAGGTTTTCCTGATTATAAGATTTAAACACACACACACACACACACACACACACACACACACACACACACACAGGTGAATAGAGACCTTCATTTTGCTGATTGTTTATATGTAAAAGCAGCGTTGTGACCCTTTGTGGTTCCCTTCTGCCCATCCTCCAGGTCCTCCTCCTCCACCTCCACATATTCGTGTGAACAAAAAGGATGTGCTCATTAGCAAATCTTCCATCAACTTTACTTTCAACTGCAGCTGGTTCAGCGACACCAATGGAGCTGTGAAATACTTCACAGTGGTAGTGAGAGAGGCTGATGGTAAGTGATCCTGAATTCACGCTACTGTAAGACACACGATTGCTTTCTCAAAGGTCACTGTGGGGACCCTCCTGTGACACGTTTTTAAGAGTAGAAAAACTTAATTTTTATGTTGTTCACCCTATCTCTCTGATAGATGCACTGAGATATAATAAGAAACTGTTCAAATACTCTTTTAGCGCTAAAGCCGATTATCTGCTGAGTTTAATTATTAAATGGGTGAATAATAATAATAATAGCCACCACAACAATAATAACAGTAGCCATCATTTACTGAGCCCATACTATGTGCCAGGCACTATGGGAAGTGCACTGCATGTATAGACTCATTCAGTTTTCTTCACTGCTCATTCAGTCCTGTTCACTGCTCTTTTGGTCTACCATTAAGCAGCAGCGTGCTTCAACTGTCTCCCCCCTTCTCTGGCTCAAATACCTCTGCCAATCACATGCTCCCAAACCACCCATCAATTCCCAAAAAATATTCAAAAGCTTGAAAAAAGGGAAAAAAATGATCATGAAAAGCATTCCTCCTTTTTCCACTGAATTTTCAATAGTGTATTTCATGCTTTAGTCTACTAATTGCGTAGTATCTACCTAATTCCTATGGACCAGGCAAATACTAGGTAATAGTTATAACAATATTCCATGCAAGCACTGAGCATGATCTTTAGAGCGTATTATGTGTATCAGCATTTGCAAAACCACCTGCAGTAGTGTCGTGTTTGGAGAGCACACGTGTCTACAAGTGTATTTGAAACTGAGGTCTTGTGTATCATTTCTCCAAAAGAGATGTTTGTGACTGGAATTGCGTTAATATATTTTGCATGTCTTCTAGTTTTCAAAATTGTTCAAGGTGCTGCCCATGAATTGCTTAAGCATCCTTGACTATTTTAGCCCCTTTGTGGGCAATGGGAAACTTGAAACCTATGACAAATGCTTGAGCTGAATAGTATTTTAGTCTCACTGGGTATCTTACAGTCTATGTGCTTTTACATTTTATTTAATTATACTAAAGCTGGGCATCCATAATTAATTAAATAATTTCAAGGGTCAGTGTACGTCCCAGATTTCCTCACACCTCATAGAGATAAATTGGTGAACTGTGAAGAGACTTAAAGATTTAAGTAGGCTGCAGTGAAGATAATGTTTCACTACATGAATAGAAGAAGGCAGTGGCCAAAAAGAAGCCATACTCCAGAAAGCAGCCTGCTGTTCTCCAGCCATGTGGTTTCAATTATTGAAGATAGCCGCACAACCCCCCCCACCCCCGTGATCTAAGCTAACAATCCATCTCACATGAATGTCATTTGTAGCATATACACTCATCCGAAAGGCTACATTCCTTTTCAACTACTGCCAACAAGATAGTATGTCCAAGATCTACTCATTTTGAGTAAATGTTATTAAACAAGGGTCTAGGATGTGATGAAACCCTACCATACCACTTCTTGAAGTTCTGTGTAAATGGTATCCGATCTCCATAAATATTTATCTTCCTAATTATGCTTTCCTCCACACAACATCAAAACTGGTTCACAGTGCCAAAACACACAGCAGGCTGGGTGGACAGGGAAAGAGTTCTGGGAAGTGTTCTGCGTGAGGGATCAACTTCAAGCCAATATTAAACTGTAGTCAAGATAACATAGTACCCGAAGCAGTTATCAGCCTGGGTGTGACACATGGAGTGTGCTGATGGGGCAACTGCTCTGACCTTGGACTTGATTTCTCTTATCTTCTCCCTAGTTCCCTGGTTGTAGGGATTTCCTTATTAAGCTCAGCTACAATGGTTATTGGCAAGGTAGACAGCTTATTGAGTGTGCTGGCTCCAACAATGGGGAATGTTCAACTTGCTGGAGTTGTAGGACATGAAATCATTTGATTTAATGAGGTACCGTCTCACACACACATTGTATTTCCTAGAAAAGTGAGATGGTGTGTGTGTGTGTGTGTGTGTGTGTGTGTGTGTGTAGTAAAATCTTGGATTGTGAGTAAGTTGGTTTGCGACTGTTCCGCAAGACGAGCAAACATTTCTAATACATTTTAACATGGTAAACAAGCAATGTCTTGCAATACGAGTAGTTTGTTCCTGGAATAAATTATGCTCACAATCCAAGATTTTAGTGTGTGTGTGTGTGTGTGTGTGTGTGTGTGTGTGTGTGTGTGTAATTTTGTTTATATATACTTTATTTATCATTTATTCTGGAAAAAGTGAATTAAAATTCATTTCACTGGGAGAATTTCACAGCATCCTTGGAGATTACAGATTCTGCACTTTGGGGATGACCAGAGATAGTGGGTGAGGAAGCAGGCTTAGAAACCCAGGCAGAAATAGCTGACATCACAGAAAAGTCAGTCCTTCACTGTGGGTTTTCTCCCTCCAGGCAGTGATGAGCTGAAGCCAGAACAACAGCACCCTCTGCCCTCCTACCTGGATTACAGGCACAATGCCTCCATTCGAGTGTACCAGACTGATTACTTTGCCAGCAAATGTGCCGAAAGTCCTGACAGCAACTCCAAGAGTTTTAACATTAAGCTTGGAGCAGAGATGGAAAGCCTGGGTGGAAAATGTGATCCCAATCAGCAGAAATTCTGTGATGGACCACTGAAGCCGCGCACTGCCTACAGGTTAGATGTATTGCCATCATTTTGCTAGAAGGGACATGCTACATTACTAGGCGCTCAGCTGCCTGGGTATCTGATGCACATGAGCTCCTATAGATTAATCACCTACGTTACAAATATGCGCTACATTTTCCTGGGTAATTTGTAACAGTTGTGTCCCTACATCCATTCACAGGTAACGTGTGAAAAGGACCTTGAGCATGGAGCAAAAGCTCTAATTCATTATGTGAAGGATTGAAGTTTCTTAATGGATTGTTCTTTCTCCTAAAACTTCTTTGGTACAAGTCAAATCATTTCCCAGGAGAACGATTGTAAAAGTGTCCAAATAGAAAGACTGAGTTTAGAGAGACTCAAGAAATGTGAGGTTTTATCTTCCACTTTTAGTGAGGACTCAAATGATGCTTTTTTATTTACCTTCTAAGGCATAAAAAGACAAAAGTACTCTTGGGTCCAGATAGAACTTTGAAGGGAAAATCTCCTGAATGAATGGAAGCGCCTTTCCTCACCCTAAGATGGCAGATGAACAGGAGCAGCTGTTTGGTTCAGTGCCAGGAAGCACTGCTATAGCCAACAGGCCCCTCAGCTGTAGGAGCTGGCAGTGCCCTTGGTCCGCACTGTGCTCTTCAGAAAGCAGGTATAAGCAGAAGTATATAGCATCTCAAACCAGGGTCTTCAAGATAAAGAGAACCTAACCTCTTAGCTATATGCATACAGGCATCTGAAATTAGTACTTCTGCAAAGGATGTACCTTCTCTAGTGTGTATTCCCAGAGCTGATAGCCAGCCAGTATGGCAGCCAGTTAAGTTCCATATGAGCCAGTGTCCATTCCTGTTGGTCAGTGCCTCGGTCTTATTGACTCTTACATGTTTTGAGAATCACCTCTGAGTCTCACAGAAACTTTTGCACCAGCTCCAAAAGGGGACAGTGACCTGACATCACACCTAAAAGCATTCTTAGCTCCTCCCTCCTATCCACAAAGGCAGGTCAATGGTTGTCCAAAAATTGAGTGCTCTCTTTGGACAGGATCTCTGTGTAGCTCCCTCTGCCCGGGACTCACCACAAAAATTATATTGCCACCCCAGCCAAGGTTGCACCTCCAGAATAAACATACGCAGACTTACTAGTGATGTTTTACTTCAAGAAGAGGCCATCTGAGTCTACCTGAAGGACATGAGATCTCAGACAGAACAACGGAGAAGCAGAAGAGACCAGAACACTGGAATCCCTCAGTTTCTATAAGAATCAAGAGATGTCCCAGCTCCTTAGTCACTTGAGCTCAAGAAAATTTGAGCAAAAGTCTCCCCAGGGGCACTTTCTCTTTGCAAGTTGGAAAGTTGAGGCTGTTTTTGTTTGGTTGGTTGGTTGCTTTATGAGAGAGGAGTGAAGATGATTCATTACTACAATTTCAGAGAGAGAGAGAATAGGAAGCTATAGACAGTTCACATCTAGACCAGAGCCCACCGGTCTCCCAGCACATTCCTTCCTGTCCATGATGGCCGCCAGGGCCCTTGGGAAAGCCCCTGCATTTGAGTTCCAGTGCTTCTATTTTTTAGCGATTAGCCTTGTAAACAGCATTTCAGTTCTATAATCATTTTTCTCATCTGCAAAACATTACAGAGTTGTCCTGGGGAATAGATCCAACCTGGTCATGTCCCTTCTAGATGAAGGTCCTCCAGTGGTTCCTGTTCCCTTCTAGCAGCAAGTGAAGATCCAGAGAGCAGGGCACACAAAGCCCTCACCTTCCCGCTGCCTCCTCTACCGGCCTCACCAGCTTTGTCTCCTACCACTCGCCCCAAGTACACCCTGCTCTTTTGCTACTCCTCGCTCCTCGGAGTTCCCTTGAATGTGACGTGGCTCTCTTATACCTCTGAACCTTTGCACATTCTTTTCAATCTATTTGGGATGCCTGCCACTCCCTTGTCTGGCTGATGAATTTCTTCAAACAGTTTAAAAGCCAGCTCAACCCTCAACTGCCAACCCACAGCTGGGCAGTTGGGCCCTCAGCTCCATTTCCACAGCACTCAGTCCTTACAATTCTCTAACCCATTTACCAATGGCTTTTAACCCTTTGTTTCCTCACCTACCCTCTTCACTACACTTCGAGAGCTCACTAATAGAGGAAACAGACATGACATTGGTTATGAAACAATATGGCAAGTATCTGGCACAAAAGAGGCACTCATTAAATGTTTATGCACAATTAAGGGAAAGAGCCAAGATGCTCTATGAAAAGTTACACATTCTTATTATAGCTTAATCAATTCATGCCATAACGTATTTGTTTTCTTGGACACGGCTTTCCTATATTTCTCCAATATACATTTGGTTCAGTCTTGTGAAGAGCATGCCAGGGAAGTGCTTGATAAAAGGAGGCACGGCCTTTCAAAGCATGAGTGACAACCACATGCTAAGTGGCCTCCTGTGTGGGGGCCGCTGAACCCTGGCTCAGAGCACTCAGCATTCCACCTGCCTTAAGATGATAATCACCACGGTGACCGACGATGCTGTCAGGCATCTTTCTTCCAGAGAGGATAGGTGGACAGGAAAGGTAAAATTAGGATTGAAAAGAAATAGGAAATGCTAGGTTTAGCTGCTTTGGAAGTTTATTATGTCAGCGAATATGTGGTCCCATTCATCGTGTTTCTGATCCGGTTGTATAATTAACATTGTCCCATATGGGAAGAGAAAGGGCAGAGGATGATGGGTAAGAGGCGGTTTGGAGATTAAGAAAGTGCTGATTTGGTTTCGTTTCTATTCTAAATAGAAGAGCAATGTGACCACAGTCAGGTAGTCAGCTTCCCTTGACCTCATTTTCCTCAAAGGAAGGAAATTAAACCACATGATCTCTAACTTTGTGCTATAGACTTTTCTGATTCTGCACACATGTAAAGTGTCCAGAGTACTATTAGATATCTAGTCATTAAAATAATCTTATTCGTATTATTGTATGCGTCATGCTGATAATATATTCAATACATGTGTTTCCTCTGTGAAAGGTACCTGGCCAGGTGCTGTGGGGGATAGAAAGATCAGTAAGATGGAGCCCCTGTCTTCAAGGAGTTTATAATGTAGTATGAGAAAGAAGAACATGTCTGTAAAATATAAGCAGAAAATGTTGAAGGACATAAGAGGGATGTAGGTAAATAAATGCTGCGAAGGTTCAAAGGGCTTCTCATGGGAGGTATTATGTTAGCTGGGCATTAAAAAATAGGGAAGGATTTGAAAATATGGTGATAGGGACAGGAGGAGATTCAGGTGGAGGGAACAGAAAGAGTCAAAGTGCAGAGGTGAAAATACACAGATTGTTTAGAGAAGAGCAAATAGTCTTGTTTCAAACAGAGTTGGGGGTTTTACAAAGAGGTAGCAGGGAAGACGAGACCAAGTAGGTCGCATGGGACAGGATTCTAGATGAGTGTTAAGTGGCGTGCTAGGGAATGTGGCTGTGGTGTCCATTTTGGGAAAGGGTTCTAAGGGCAGAGTTCCTGATGACCCACTAATTTTCAGCTGAGCCTATACGAGGTCATTGTCTCCCTCCTGGGTCCCTAAAGGTCCTTATTCATTTGGATCCATTTCATACTTTGCATTTGCACCTGTGAATCCTAGAATTTCAGAGCAGACTATATCAAGGTTGTTATAGCCAATGCTTTTATTTTACAAATGAAGAAACTGAGGCATAAAGAACTTTAGGGACCATTCAACTAATCAGCGACAAAGAGAGAACCAGGCCTCAGACCCTCTGCTTCCTAGCCTGGACCCTTTTTACCATCCCTCCGACAGAAGTTATTACTGTTAAACCAAAATTAAGCCAAGAGGAAATAAGGGAAAGAGATCTGGACTAGGAGTCAGAAAATATGGATGTTAGTTTTCTTGCACCAGCTTTCTGTGTAATCTTGAGTGACACACGGACTCTCTCCGAGCTTCAAGTTCTGAATTTCTAAAGTAATACAATAAGCTTCCTTATATTGGAGAGGTTGGAGATGATGAAATAAAACCATGTTTTTAAAAGTTCTTTCAGACTTATAAATCACTGTTCAAATATAAGAAAGTCTTATGATCAGAGAGACTCCTTTAAATTTCCAAAGGTACAATGCAGAAGCAACACACACCACCTCCTCACCTTCCCACTTAACATGTGCTGACTGCTGGCTACCCTTTGGGGACATCTTACAATAATTCAATCAACAGTCTGTTATTCCCGATACAACCTTTGGAAAGTGTCTTTAGAGATCGAAATCACAGATGTGGTTGGTCAATATCATCTTGTTCATTTTAGAAGATCACACTTGGACCCAGGCATGAGTTAAAAGGAGGAGAGAGAGGGTCAGAACAATTTTCCCTGGCCTGTTACTGCTTCAGCATTGTTACAGGATATGCTCAGATACTTCTGGGTTCAACAAATAGATTAAAAAAACACAAAACAGAAAGGGAAAAAGGAGTCTCCCATTCATTTTCATAAGTTTTAAATCAACACTAGAAAATGTTTTCCCATATAAACCAAGCCTGATACTCTATCAGTAAGCCTACAGTTTGAGAATCTTAAGATAGAACTCAGGAGGTGGCCCAAGTCAATCTTGAACTTGGTGCAGCAATGCTCTCCCGCAGCTTCCCTGAGAGCTGGTTCTCCTTCAGCCTCTGCTTAAAGCCCTTTGACAACCACCTATGTGGCAGCTCATACTCTAGATGTTAGAAGGTGACTATGCTCCTAACCTACACCTCTGTAGACTTCAGCCTTCTGAGCTTAGTGTTCCCTTCAAGAAGAAAAATAATGATGTCTGTTTCCTCTTCTGCGTGGCAGCCTTCCTTAAACCTGAAATCAACTATCATGTCCCTCTAAGTCTTCTCTGTCATCACCCTGGTCAATCACTTCCAATAATCTCCAATGCTTCCTAAAATATGTCCCCAGAAATTGAGTGCAGCCCATACTGGACCTGATTCAACCAGAGAGCATGAGACTTAGGCCCTGTGATGGGCACAATAGGCTTTGTGTTCAGGCTGAGGGTGCAATTCTGTGTTTTAAGAGCTGCACTTTGCTTGCTTATTGAACCAGGGCCAGCTCATCTCCAGGCGCCATCCCGCACGGGCGCATGGACAGCCACCTCAGCAGCTCTCCTGTCCAGATGACTGGAGCAACTCCAAATGTCAGCTGAAGAGTTCTAAGTCAATGTCTCACTGTCACTCCAAATCCAAAATAGCCAAGCAAAGCTCCTCCTTTCCCCATTCTAATTCCCATTTCGGTCAGTGATGCCATTTCTCTCCCAAATGACCTGAGCTCCACTCTTAGAACCAGCTTTGATTCCTCCCTTCTCCTCTTCAGGCCAGGCCCTACGTCATCCCTCCTCTCAGCGCCTTTCAGTCATCTTTCTGTTCTCACTGCCACTGCCCGGGCCGGGGCCCCATGTTCTTGGCCTAGACTATCACTGTAGTCTTTTAATGGACCGCTCTGCTCCTGGCTGGCCCTTTGCTGGCTCGTCCATTTGATTTCATACTGTTCCCCCACTTGGAAACCTGTGCTCCAGGCCACCCCATCTCCTTATGCCCAAACACAGTTTCCTCTGATTTCCAGTATTCCTCATTTACAATTTAATGTATGGGTTCTTCTTTTACTATTTGCCTTAATTATTTATATTGTTTTCCTAATTTTCAAGAGGAGTGACCATGTATCTCATTGTACCCAGCAATTAAACATAATGAAGGTGTTCAATAAATTTTTATGACAAACAATGATATTAAAATAATTTTAGATAAAAGGCTTTTTAGAAAACACCTAGTGCCAAAAAGTTGGAGAGATACGTAATTTTACTTGTAATGTTCAATGCAAAATTTTATGTGTATATGTAATGTTATTAAAAAGAAAACAATAGCCACAATAACAATAATATTAACAATACTGATATTTTACCAATTTAATTGTTCTAATAGGTAACCTCAGAATTACTGCCCGCATAACAGAGCTCTATATCTTCCCAAACCCCTCAATGTTCTCCTCCACAGTCTTCTTTGATGTTGGTAAATGGC